ATTGAAATGAAAAATAAATAAATTTATAAAAAAAAAGGAAAGAAAAGCCTGGCTACACTGGGATAGGATAAACATTGAGTTTGGCCAAGATTAAATAGAAGTTGATGTTTACTTAACATTTAAGATCTACAAGATACTCCTTTCTTGCTACTGGCCCCTAAACTCATTGAGGTCCAAGGGCTATGTCTAATATTTCGACTCACTAGATTTTTGGTTCTCTGGATCTTTACCTGATCACTTAACTTGGTACGAGAGCTCTGTTATGAACTTTAGCTCTGTCTCCTGACTTTGGTTTTTATAATCTTAATTCTAGCTGGAGTTCACCCATGACTGATATGTTCCATGGACATATCCCAAGTTAAACTGAACTCATTAAGTAGCCACTTTGACCATCACATCTGTCTTTCTTTCTGTCTGTTCTTCAATAAGATGAAAGCCCTGAACATATTATCATCTATTGTTTACGTATGACCTAATATGTATTATTTCTTCACATTCTTAGCACTTATTACAGTATAATATAATTGAGCTCAACACATAATAGAGTTTAGCTAAAAGAAAAATTACAGACCTCTTCACCAGTTTTCTTTCTTCCCAAAGCATACTGTTTTGTGGCTTCAATAAATCGCACAGGAATATTATATACTCGCTTGTTAAAGAATACAACTAAGGTATAAGGTTGTTTGGAATCATGACCCGAGCTTTGCCGAATGAGAAATGATCCATCCTGTTAAACAGATTAAAAAAGAGACATAATTTCACACCTAAATTACACTTAAAAGCTGATTAGCTAGCTACATAATTTTAATATTATTAATTAGTTTATATTGCTATTTTTTCAAGAAAAAGACATCTGCAAAATATATGCTCATAGGAAATTATCTGATTAAGTTCAATGCTAGCTTTATAAAGTGTTAAATAGCATATTGAGTTTTAGAATTTAGAAATATGTGAAGAGACACATTAAGCTCAAAACTATAGGACACTCTTGAGCTTAAAGCCATGCTTGAGAGTGGTCTACGAATAGGAAAAAAAAATAACTTCTACTCAGAAGGAAATAATGACACCACTTATATAATATACAGTGTTAATGAGTCTAGGCAAAAAAAAGTCATTATCACCAGTTATTGTTGTTGTGTATCACCATGGAGGTGGTAACATTTTTTTTACAAAATTCACCTAATCTTAACAAAAATGCTTTCATCGCAGTGCTCTTCTTTACACATTTCTTTTTCTATATGAGTTTCAGAATCACCTTCCCGGCTTCAGAAAGAGCATGAGAGAGCCTTGCCAGATGTGAGCACACAATACTGAGCACCTAAATGCACTTGTCAGAGATCTCACTCTTTGTCACATTAGATAGCATATGAAGATAGTTCTATTTCTGACTTTCTGGTCAGTTCCATCGGCTTGCCAATTCATTCATCAGGGTGAGTAATTTGTGAATTTAGAGAAAAGAGAGCCAGGAATTTTCCATTTTCTTTTTTACTTCTTGGTATAACCTTCAGAGACAGGAATGTCTCATCTCCACAAATTCCTCGTGCCAAGTACAGCACCCGACACAGTTAGGTTTTCCTAAACGTTTACCAAATGAATTGTTACTGACTTCCAGTGACAAGGAAAAAGAGACACAGTTCAGAGACAATATACAAAGAAGGGTTCATTTAAAATTACTAAAATTTATAAACTGAAGGATATGGCACAGAAAAATAGGAAAGAGCTAGACGAGAGTGGGTGAGTAAAAAAGGAAAAGCCCAAGAATAATGCATATATTATATAAAGAAAGATATGAGCATAGCGAAAGAAAATTCTCCAACATAGGGGGCTCCTTGGGTCTACCTTAGACTTAAGCTGGCACTTTAATCTTGGATTTTCTTGGATTGTCTAAACCTCACCCTTGATTTGTTTGGGTTCTCCAAAAATTGTACTTCATGGTCTCTTTTGCCATTTTGACCCAACTATTTCACCCCAGGCTATGATCCAAAATAGCTGGTCATTTCTTACTCCTGGATGAGTCTCATGTAGCCTCAAGCCTTACAGAGGAGCCTCCCTCCAGAAAGCTCTTCCCTCCCTCTGTTGGAGAGCAGCAGAGTCTGCAGATCCTTGTTGAAATGAGAGGACAAGTAGAAATGAGACAGGGAAGAAGAGAGAGATGCTTGAATGCGAGGGAGGATGGTGGTTCCTCTTGAGTACACAAAGGAAAATGATCCCAGGATTCTTAGTCATGACAATTATTTTAATGAGCATAATTTAAGGATAACAATGGTGCATAATATGGAATTGAAAAGTGGTCAGACCTTGTTTGACTTGTACAAAGCCTCTTCAGCAGACTTGCGGTCACAGGCACCAGCATACCATGGTTTACAGTGAACATCAGCTTCCTGGAAAGGAGAATGGGCATTGGAGGCATGAGATAAACCAAAAAGCTCAGTGATTTCTATGTATGAGAGATAGATTCACTTTGCATTACCAAGTATAACTACGCTTGAATCAGTAATTGGAAAATTAGTTTTATGTCTTCTTTGGTCAACCATACATACATACATGTTGTTGTTGATTGCCTTCGAGTCAAGCACAAAGCATAGCAACCCTATGAACAAAAGGCCTGAAGTCCCTCTACAACTATCAACATTTGTCAAAGTTAGTAGAGTTTCCGGAAGCATGTTGTTCAGGAAGTAGATGCCATTCCTGCTTCCAAACCTATCATAGTAAGTATATCATTGTTGTCATGTGCCTTTGAGTCACCTGCGATGCATATATAAACAATTGACTAAATTTCCTGATTGGCCTTAGCTGTCTATATAAAAAATTTTTCTAGGTCCCCAAACTATTTGTTCTTACTTCCTAGTTAAGTAATGAAGTTTATTTGTCATCCTTTTACCATCGTTGCTTTGTGGGTTGCTTTTCCATGTGTGCAGTATTTTTTTATGAATTTTACCTTATCTGAATAATAGTCGTGTGAATGGGTCTTCCCTATATGGATCCTATCCCATCACTCAAAACATTGTATTTCAGGATAGAACTTGACATTGACTTTTTGAGTCTGAATGCAACACTATTCTACCTCTGTTTTTAATTCCCTGTATAGTATACCATATGATTATCTGATTCAAAGTGGCCAAACCTGGCCCATCTCCTCTCACTCTAATGCCTAGAATGTTGATGTTCATGCATTCTATTTAATTTTTAACACTTACCGGTTTTCCAACATTCAAGCTATAGTCCATGTTCCAATTGATAAACAATGTTATTGTTTTTCTCATTTCAATTGACTTCCAGTCTGGGCTTTACTTCTATACTATGATAACTATGCTCATTCCTTTAGGGTTCATAGGGCTTTCAAAGTCCTTTTATTTAGGACGTAGATGGACCAGACTGTTTATCAATAACCTGCCTTATGCAGATGACACAACCTTGCTTTCTGAAAGTGAGGAGGACTTGAAGCACTTGTTGCAGAAGATCAAGGAATACTGTCTTCAGTATAGATTGCATCTCATTGTCAAGAAAACAAAGATTCTTACCACTGACCAATATCCAACATGGTGGATAGAGAGGAGATTGACACTGTCAACAGCTTCATCTTGCGTGGATCCACAATTCACTCCCTTGGGACCAGCAGCCAGGAAATAAGGAGATGCATTGTTTGGGAAAATTTTTCGTTTTGGACCTCTCCAAATTAACAAGGAGTAATGATGTCAGTTTGAGAACTAAGATGCATCTGATTCAGTCCATAGTCCTTCTGATCACTTACTATGCCTCTGAGAGCTAACAATGAATACGGATGACAGAAGAATTGATGCCTTTGAGCTGTGATGTTGGAGAAGAGCACTGAACAAGTGAACAAACGACCAAGAAAACAAACAGATATGTCATGGAGAGGGTGCATCCAGAGTGCTCTTTGGAGGCAAGAATTATGAGACTTCACCCCACATACTTTGGGCATGTTTCAAGAAGCTGCTTCTCTTTGGAGAGAGGCATGATGCTGGGAAGGGTGGAGGGCTGGTAAAGAAGAGGAAGACCTATGACCAGATGAATTGTCATGGTGACTGTCGCCATGGGCTCTAGCGTGTCAGGAAGTGTAAAGATTGCACAGGATAGGACAGGATTCAGATATTTTGTTAATGGGGTGGCTATGAGTCACAATTAATGGTATCTAACAACAACAACAACAACAATCACCACCTTATTTGAGCCCTTCAACTACTTTGATGGCATGGAGGAGAGATCATATCATCTCATTATTACAGAACACTGTAGATTAGACTGTCCTTTATAAACTGTATGTATGGCCTTACATGAGTTTTAATCGCATAAACCACCACAGATCTATCTGGAGGATATTGTAGTTTAAACAAAATTTAACTGAAAGGAAGAATGATAACAGCCTGTACTAGTTTGTTGGGCTTCTTAAAAAGGAAATCTTAATTGTTTCTTCTTTTTTTTTTTTAATTGTTTCTTCTTGTTGTGTACCATCAAGTTGGAACAGAACCATAACTGACCCTCTAGGTGGGTTTTCAGAGACAGTTAAGTTGCACAGAAGGAAATTGTTCATCCTTCTTCCACAGAACAGCTGGTGAATTCAAACTGTGTGCTTTCAGGATTGTAGTGCTTGCCACTAGGATACCAGAGTTTCCCCCTTTAAAAAATATATTTTAATTTTTAAAAATTTTATACTGATTTATTTACAAAGTTTGAATACATTGTTTTTCACAAAAGATTCTTCCCATTTCCTTCACCCCACCCACCTATCAAATTGTGCAACTGCCCCCCATTCTCACCCCTCTGCTTCTAGCCTCCTGCCCATCTTGGTACTCTTACTCATTCTACAATAATAGTTTTATACAGTATTTGTTCTTGTGGGACCGAGTTAGTTCACTCAGCATAATGTTTTCCAATGCCTTCCAAGGTAGGCAGTAAATTTAAAAAATGATTGCTCCTGTGTGCTGTGCAGTGTTCCATTGTATGAATGTAACACAACTTTCAATCCATTCATTTGTGGTTGGACATCTGGGCTGTTTCCATGTTCTTGCAATGGTGAATAATGCTGCTATGAATACTGGTTTGCAAGTTACCATTTGAGCCTCATTTCTTATTTTCTTGGTATATAGTCCAAGCAATGAAATGTGAATAGACATAAGTGGAGGAAGGCCCAAATTACTGGGAAGAAATGCATTCTATGTCCAAATGACAAGCACAAACTACCTTAAAATGCAGACTATTCTCAAGCTTTAATCAATATTCTCATTCATCAGAGGATATCTATAGTTCATTTCATACCTGTTCTGACAAACTGAAATTAGACGTGAAGTTGGGTAATTGTCCTTCTACTGTTGGACTTCCCCCTTCTGGAAATCCTAAAAGGAATTTGAAAAATGGATTAATTTCACTATTTCCTGAGTAATATTACCATGGTGTATGTTACAGGGTGCGTGCGTGCACATACACACACACACTCACACACACACTCTCACACAGGTCTTTTCCAATTACAAATCTATATGAGGTCTGTCAAGCAAAAGAAAATACAGTAGTAGGTTGAATGCAGCAGCAAAAATGATAATCCAGATTTCTATTTCTTAGACATTAAAGAGCTCTATGAAAACAAAATATGGCCACTTTTTGCACTAGAATTTTTGTTTGGATAATATAGTTGTTTTTCATAAGAATGTGCTATTTATATCAACAAGTAATGAGCTTGTGATTATTCTATATGAGTAAACAAACATTTACTATCTGTTTTAGTTTCCAAGACAGTAAGTATTAATAGAAAGACATATAAACAATAGCCCTTTGAATCTGCAATGATTTTAAGTGTTGAAGGCATCCTGAGAATAAAATGTTTGAGAATTTCTGCCTTAAAGAGCTTATAATGTAGATGTGGAGAAGCAGGCAATAGAGACTTCACTGCACTTACTTGGCAGAGGTATGGGTTTTTGATGAATTTGCCTGAAAGAAATAATTTCATAATAATTAAAGGGAAAAAACATCATATAAATAAGTGTGATTTTGGTTTACATTTAAGATGAGCTAAACAGGTGCATGACAGAGGAATCAAGACATTCAGCTAATAAATAAAACAGGTCCAAACCCATAAATTATCTTTAATTTTACTTATCATAAACTTCTTCATAATTTTGAAAAAAGACAAGCCTTGTCTAAGGCATGAGGTTTTTGTTGAGCCCTATAATGAAAAGGCACCTGAATATTAGATGTCTGCAGCTCTGAGCAGTTATTTCAGAGTTGTTAGTAACTTTGCACCTTTTTAAAAAATTTCATTAGAAAGTAGTGAAACAGCAGATCTTTACAGCATTTACAAGCCAGCTGACTGTGTAGGGGAACAATACAAATGTGAATTCCTGCAGCAATTTAATTTGAAAAGAAAGGATTCTTACTTCTGGACAGGGGTCAACACTGGTGACTGTCCCGCCTCTTGTCTGTGACTAGACGCTCGATGACGTTCAGCAGGAATAGGCTTTCCTGGATGAGGAAAATTCTCGTATTAGCCATGGAGTGAAATGGCTGACTCTGCCCTCAAACGCTGCAAGAGCAGCCAAGAACTAAACTTGGTCCACTGCCTTCCCAGGAGCTTCTCTTTAAGCGGTTCTCATTGCTTTGTTCACCTGTCAGTCAGGTGATGTTTGTGCTGTTAGGACAAGGATTTCCACCCAGCACACGCTCCCATACTCCCATGCCCGTCCTTTTTAAGTGTGTGAGTACTTCAGGAGCCAGAAGATGAGCAACTACTAGCTACTCTCAGAACACCTCAATCCTAACTTTTTCTGTGGTTCCCCTCCCCCCCCGCCAAATACCACAGCGCCCAAGTGTAACATACAATAGGAATGACTTGCTACTGAGAATAAGTAAAATAATAACATCTCATGAATGATCTCTTTTTGAAACACAGGGAATATTGAGTTGTAATACATTCAACATTATCTCTGTAATCTTCACTTTGTATTCCTTGATAGCAGAGGAAGAGAAAGAGTTACAACTAGATCAAAGGGAAACTATAAGAAATTTATATTGAATCCCTAGGAAATTGTTGCTACAAAATCATGCATATTCTCTAGAGGCATGTTAAACATTGAGGATGTCAATGTTTCCTTTATGGAAGAAAGACTGAGAACTACTGCTCTCCCACTATAAACCATTGCCGTCAAGCCAACTCCTTATAGCAATCCTTTAAGACAGAGTAGAAGCACCCCACAGGGCTTCCAAGGCCATGGGATCTTTCTCCTGGAGAGTGCTCTAGCACCAGCTTCCAGGTTAGAAGCCCAGGGTTTAACCCACTGTGTCACCAGGGCTCCTTACCTTCTACCACAGGAACCCCCAGAACACTGAGTTAATAAAGAGCAAGGCACACTTTAGTTTGTGACATGCACCAAAGTGAGTAAGACAATTTTTTGAGTTTGTGTCAAGTTTATAGGTTCTGCTCACGATTACGTAACAAAAAGTGCTGCACCAGGATTGGAGGAAGACTCATCAACAAGCTGCGTTATGTAGATAACACAACCTTGTTTGCTGAATATCAAAAGGACTTGCAGCATTTACTCATGATGATTGAATACTTCAGCCTTCCATATGGATTACATCTCAGCATCAAAAAACCAGAAATTCCCATGTGACCCAACTATTCCACTGCTAGGAATATACCCTGAGGAAATCAGAACTGAGACATCAGCAGAGATATTTACACCCATGGTCACAGCAGAATTATTTACGATAGCAAGAACACGGAAACAACCCAAATGTCCATCAATAAATGAATGGGAATTGGAAGAACCTGTTCTGGAAAACAGTGTATTCTAATTTTGTAAATAAGCTAGTAAAATAATAAAAAACTAATAAACGAATGGACTGAAAAATTGTGGTACACTCACACAGTGGAAAATACTACTAAGGAACAATGATTTTGTAAAATATAACATGGGAGAGTCTGGAGAGCATGATGCTGCGTGAACTAATTCAGTCTCATAAGAACGAGTGCTGCATATGATGATTGTAAAAATGAATAACTGAGCAAGATTGTTTATAAATGTTCAAAAAGGGAAAGGGGGAAGGGAGAAGTGGGCAGAAAAAGGGGAAGGAGGGAAACCACCAGAACAGAGGAGGTTAATGGAAAGATGGAGGTGTGAAGGAACAGGAAAGATTCAATGGGGACTTGAAAAGACAGGGCAGTAATAGGCATATCTCAACAGTAATTAATTATATAAACTATAATGTATATGGATGATTGTATAAAGCACAATGTACATGAATGGAACACAATGTAAATGAAAGATTGTAGAAAACACAATGTATATGCATGAAACAGTGTATATGAATGACTGTAAGCAAACCAATAAAAATATGAGAAGGGGGGAAAAAAAGAGAAATATTTACAACTGGACCGATCACTAACATCATGACAAATGAAGACAATATTGAAGTTGTCAAGGATTTTCTTTTACTTGGAACCATAATCAGTACCCATGGGAACAGCAGTTTGTTATTATTATTCCACTATTAGTGAGATCATAAACCACTGTGATTTCATGGTTCCTGATCAAAAGGCAGGAAAGACCACAGGGGAAAGAAGGGCAGAAAGACAAAGACATAAAGGAAAGGAGGAAGAGGAATGAAAACTGTGGGAAATGGTAGAAAAACCTTAGAGGAACAGTGAAAGTAGAGAGAAGTGTTAGTTCAGGAATTATCCATTGTCCAAAGTCAGAGAATGGACAAGAGTGTTGTAGAGATGCCCATATCAACTCAGGAAATGGTGAGGTGAGGACAACATTAACTATAAGATTTTACAACTGGGTACCTACAAGTGTGTGGATAGATGGTGAAAAGCGTAAAAGGCTTTAAGTGTTGAGACTTATGAAGTTTCCTCCAGTCATTTCCCCAAACACAAAGAGTTTTTAACATTGTTGTTAGATGCCATAGAGTACAGCTCATAGATACCTTATGAACAACAGATCTGAACCCTGTCCTGTCCTGTGCCATCCTCACAATCACTAACACACGAGCCCATTGCTGCAGTCACTGTCAATCCTTCTGGCTGAGGGTCTTCCTCTCTTTCACTGTCCCTCCACCTTTCCAAGCATGATGTCCCTCTCCAAGGAATAGCCTCTCCTAGCAGCATGCCCGAAGTATGTGAGATGGAGCTTTATCATCTTTGCCTCCAAGGAGCACTCTGGCTGCACTTTCTCCGAGACACATCTGTGTGTTCTTTTGACCATCCATGGGATATTCAGCAATCTTAGAACAGTTCTAATTGAAAATATGTGTAAGGTTTTGGGCTAATGATAAAACGAAAGGAAGCATTTGAAAATTCTCTAAGAGAGGCAGTTGCACTTTGAAAGCTTAGTAAGGAAACATGCTCATTTGAGCAGGTTTTTAATATTTTCATGGCTTTAATGGAAATATTATTTACAAAAGATGAGGACCGCTCTAAATTTGTCTTCAGGACCCAATGTATTGCTTCTTGTAAGGCACACCTATCTAAAAAAAGGCAGATTTTTCGTGTATGGACTGTAGTTTATCCCAAAGACACTACTTGACAAACTCAGATTCTGATAGGCTTTGCTCCGCTGCTCATTCCAGAGAGAAGATATTTTTTTTAAAAGAAAATCAGTTTTATAATAATAATTACCTTGTAACACAAGAAATTTAGAAATGCATTTATATTCAAATCCTTAATAAAACAAACATTAGCATACATACTGATTCTTCAAAATATCATCTAGGCATCTAGGCTTACCTTCACAAGCACTTGATGCATTTTGTTGAGAGGTAATTGGTGCCTGTATTTATAAAGGAAAAGGTAATGGTATTCAATACAGCTCAATGTAGAAATAGAAATCAAAGCAATCTTATGAAAATAATTGTCTGGGGAGAACCTGTCTTTGAGACTTCACAGTTCTTTCAGTCCCAACAAGAGTTAAAAACACACAACCCTCCAATTCAACTGGTTTAGCGACAACTGGCTGAAAGTGTCTCCTTGAAGGGACAGTGGCCTTGATCTGGGGACCTCTCTGATCCATGAAGGGTGGACCACCAGACCTTACCCAGGTAGAAGTGCTTGGGCAGAAGGATTCTGGCATCTGGCTTTGGTAAGTGATTTTCTGTTCTTGGTAAATGATTATGAATATGAGACTTCAGGGCAAGCACCAAGTTCAAGGAGGACTTCTTAGAGTGGAGTAGCCCAGGTTCGCCATGCTCTGATAATAGTCAAGCCTAAGTGTGCCTGACACACTGCTGTCAGCCATTACCTCTCAGGTGAGTGGATGGATACTAGGCACATGGGCTTATGTGGGGAGGGCAGACAGTAGAAGGTGGGCACCCTGATCATGATCTCTGTTCTCAGGTGTGCACACTCAGCGAAGCTGCTGGAACCAAGCAGTTTCTGGGTTTCCTCAGCTCTAGAAGTTTCTCCTGGACCATCTGGGCAGCAGCTTCAGTTGTTAAGATTGCTGTGTTCACCTTACATAAGTAGGTGACTATAAAATTGCAGGAAATATGAAGCACTTTTAAATGCAAAAGTAACTTACTGCCTTCAGTGATGCAATTGGCTTCTTTCTGTGGAATGAAGACATGAGCTTTATTAACTCACAGTGAAAACATGGGGAGACCACTGGGCATTCTGCCCTCAAGTTTAAACTGGAATTATGCAATTACTGTCAATGTCTAGGAAGACTATTCTCAACTGGCAGAAAGGAACAAAAATAGGATTTCTTTATGATCCTCCTAACCTCTGATGGAGTCCTCTGAGATGGGAAAGCGGTTAGCTGAGATCGGTGGGAGCTCTAGTTTCCAGGGAGTCTGCAGTAGTAAGCTCTTGTTCTGGTTCTGCTACTACTTGGTGACCTTGGGCTTCTTGCTCTCATTTTCTTCCCTGCAGAAGGTACTCACCCAGCTCTTGGTAGTGGACATGGTGCTACAGGTGAACATGGTAGCGTGGACTCCCAGATCCCACTGTTTCGACCTGCACACAAAGACAAGTCAGGCTTAAAGTCTTGAACCTGCGGTTGACATGTGACTGGATTTCTGGCACGTGGGGAAACACATGCATATTTTTTTGTTGCTTTCAGTTAAAAATATATGGGCAGTTGCATCAAAGCTAGAGGGAGGAGGGACTGGGGATTTTCTGAGACTGCATCGTGGGGGTGTTAACGTAGCTCTGTCAAGGGGGTTGTACATATAAGATAGATGAACTTTATAATATGTGAATCACAACTTTAAAAAGTAATCTCAATAAATGTGGCAATCGTTATTGCTTTGTCATCCTATCATCGGTCTTCTCGGTGCCTGTCGGTGCTGTACTGTACAGGGGCAAGTTATGTAATACTTGCTAGGGGACCTTGGGGGTCTGAGCTCTGGTGACAGGCCACCTTTGTTTACTACAGATATAAAAGTCCCCACCTCCCTCTAATGGGTGCGGAGATGCAGGTCTGGCTCTGCCACTGCCCATGGGATTGACTTGTAAGAAACCCCTTAATAAAATGATATCACCATCATGGACTAACCAGCCTCCTTGTTCGGTTTCATGGTACTTCAGGGCAAATTTTAGACTTTAGATGAGATGGATTGATACAGTAACTGGGGCACTGGGGGTAGGTGTGTCAGTATCAGTGAGACTGGCTCAGGACAGGGCAGGCATCAGAGCTGCTGTGCATAGGGTAGCTATGAGTCGCAGACAACTCCACAGCACATAACAACAATAGTACAAAACTGTGTTCTAAAACATGGGCATTATGCCATGTATGTAGATATGCCTTCCTTAAGCCTTTCCTAGGGGGCTGTGGTGCCTAGTCCATGGGGATCTGTGCTACCCTCTCAAAGGTCATGCCTCTCCGGCAGTTCAAATCCACCAGTGGCTCAAGAGACAAACATGGGCAATCTCCTCGCATGTGATTTACAGCCTCAGAAACACACTGGAGGTTCCGCTATGAGTTGGTTTTGACCTCACAGCAATGAAGTTTTTCTTATGAGAAGGCTCATCTACCCTGAAGCAGAGGTAAGCAAGACTCAGAGAGGTTAAATTGTCCAAAGCAATGCAACTATTAAGTGTCAGGACTGGGGTTCAAAAGCAGATCTATTTGAGCCTCATGAGTCAATACTCACAATGTGACTATGGACAGTAAATAGTGCATGAGATTAATTTACTGCATGTCCTTTTATGTGGGATATTTGTTGCTGTTGTGACCAGTGAGTTGGAGCCGCCTCAGAGCTGACCCTCTGGTGGGTTTTCAGACAATAGATGACATGGGAGTTGACTCTCCATCTTTCTCCCACTTTGGGTACATTGTTAGGAAAGGCTGTCCTTTGGAAAGGTACCCCGTACTTCTAAAGGTGGAGGGTCAGCAGAAGAGAGGAGGACCCTCTGATACAGTGACTGTGGCAATAGGTTTGAGAGTTTTGGGGACAGCGAGGACGGCCCAGGATAGGACAGGGTTTAGATTTGTTGTTCATAGGGTCACTATGAGTCATACTCTACTCGCTGGCACCTAACAACAACAACAACAACAACAACTTTATGTGGCTAATGATGAGCAAAACATAAGGGTACTTTTGTGGATGCCTTTGAGAAGATGTGTAGTGATCCTTCTATTTCATGAGCAGATATCTCTTCTACTCTGAGGCACCTTTGGGTTGATTTTAATTGCCAATATTTTGGTTAATATCATGTGCTTAACAGTTTCTACTACCAGAAACTCCTAAATGTTTGCCAAGACCTTAATAAATATTTAAGTCTACAATTTGCAGGGGCACTAGGGATTGCAATCCAAGTCTTTCTGGCTCACAGCAAGAGTTTCAAACCACTTTAAGCTGTTTCAGTCATGGCCAATGAAACAAAACCAGGTTGACCAGGATTTGCAAAAATGGGTGCCTAAACTATAACTGGAGCAAAGTGACAAGTTGAAATTCTGAAATGGGAGAGTCAGCAAGAAGTTTAGGGAGTACTTTCCATGGTCTAATGCAGGAGACTGGATTATTTGCAGGACTGTGGAGAGAGAGACATATTCAAAGTAGTGCCCTGTCAGCCACTATCTTTGAATTAGGCACCATTCCCCCTGTCCCTCTGCCCCATACTGTGTTGGTCAAAAGATTTGGTTGCTATGCAGCCGACACACTGCTGTTGTTTTCAAAGAGGGTGATATTGCAAATTCTAGTCCATCTCAGTTTCACTTCACCAACCATGACTGAACCTGGGGGAATAAAAGTTGGAAGCCCTCCTCAAAATCCATTTTCTTAACTAACCACTATCATACCTTGAAAGAAGGGTCAAGAGAAGCAGCTGAGCAGTGGGGATACCTTTAGTCAGAGGAGGAGGCAAGGAGAAGCCTGAAAAGTTCCCAGAGAAGTAGGTTGACAACCAGGACCTAGTCCTCTGAGAGATGGGTTAGTGGTCCCTTCAACTGAGACGCCATTGGACACATGACAATGATGAGCCCTTTGTTACCATTTATTAAGAAAATTAGAAAAACAAGTGATGACTTCTTTGTATTTGATCTGAATTCATTATCTTATTTGGAATAAGATTAAAATCCAGTCCAAATGATACATATACTTTACCTGAAGCTAGTGCTGGTGGAGAGGCTGGTGAAGACTTACTTGGTTTGGTTGATCTGTTCACCATGGGAGCTTAAATACACAAATATACATACAATTAAACAGATGTCTCTACTGAGGGAAATTCATGCTTATGCAAAAATGCCTTGTGAAGCAATGGGTCATAGTAGAGAATTTGCAAAGAATGGGAAACAGAGTTATTAAACACACAGTCATTAATACTAGAATTCACATAACAAACACCATTAGAATGAATATATTATGGATGGAGAACTCTGGTGGTAAGGAGCTGTGCTGTCAACCCAAGGGCAGGTGGTTCAAATCCACCAGTTGCTCCTTGTGAGAAAGATGAACATTTTTCTCCCATATGATTTACAGCTTCTGTAAAACTGCTGGAAGGTCAGAGATGAGTTGGTTCCAACTCAATAACACATTAACACCACATATTGGTGATTAAAAGGAATAAACAAGGGAGCTCTGGTGGCCTAGTGGCAAAAGCTGCACTGCAATCCCAGAGGTATACGGTTCAAATCCATCAGATGCTCTCCAGATGCTCTGCTGGAGAAGGAGGGGCAATCTCGTGTACCAGTCAGATCCAATATGATGGAAGGGGAGAGAGAGAGAGAGAGAGAGAGAGAGAGAGAGAGAGAGAGAGATTGTTTTATGAGAGAGAGAGAGAGATTGTTTTATGACAGATTTTTGTTAAAATTTCATTTGGAGGTCTAGAGAATATAGGAGTTTTGTTAATTTTTGAAAATCATGATTGGGAAAGTGAAGGTCAGGGAAGGAAAAGAAGACCCTCAAGGAGATGGATGAACACAGTGACTGGAACAATGGGCTTAAGCATAGAGGAGAGGGTGAGGAGGGGGCAGAATGGGGCAATCTGTTATACAGAGGGTCACTATGAGCCAGAGCTCACGGAAGAGGACTTAACAATAACAAAAAAGTGCATTGAATCTAAAGTGGTGGATGATGGGACAATGTATTATCATTCCAATCAGAGGGATGGTGCCGGGTCTAACGGACAGCCCTTATTCTTGACTTGTCAGCAGCTAACAACTATGTGCATTTGTTGATATTTTCTCATGACAGATGGTTCAGGAACTCAGGTGGGCCTTAAAACTATTGAGGACATTTAGAGATTGCAGGATAGCTACTCCATGACAACAAGGTCAAAGCTGAACCCTGCTATCTCCAATTTGTTATCTGAAGATGCTAGTATGATTTTTCCCCCCAAAGCAATTCTTGTGATCCATAGTAAAACTACTGTTCTGAAAGATCACTTACAACAAGTATTTGCTGTCATATAAAACAATATGAGCCTGAGGCAGAAGTAACATTTAAAACCCAGGATCCTAGAGCAAATGGCTCCTGGTGTAATGCTTGTAATGCCAATACAATGACTTGTGACGTAGGCTCTATGACAAATCCTTGTAAGAACAATTTAAGACAAGAGCCCCCAGGTGCTTTCAGAGGTAGAGAAAGGAGTATTAAATCGTGAGAGTAGGAGGAAGGAGGTGGGAAGGCCAAGATACACAGAGCTGCTTTCTGCTTGACAAGCCAATGAAGGACAAACACGGTGGTCACAGCAGAGCGAGGCCAGACATAGTCCATTTCGGGGTCTATTTGTGTTTCCTACCAAATGTTTTTGGATGGCCTGATCAGCTGCTAGTTTTAGGTACCTAACTGGATACACTTGCCTTTCTCACGTGGAGGTGAACTGCCTTCTGTGGGATGAATATAATTTTCATCATCATCTTCGACAGGAACTACATAATCAGCCTAAAAGAAACATAGAAGTGGATGAGGGAAATGCTATATACATTCACATTTTTTTGATATGAGAGAGGGTGAGCTTAAAAAATCATTGCTGTTGTCAAGTGCTGTCAAGGTTGCTTGTGACTTATAGCCAACACTTATGCACAATAGCTCTGAAGCTTGCTTTATCCTGAGCCAATCTTATTGAGGTATAATTTACATTATATTAAATTCCTCTCTTTAAAGTATTGTTGTATATTGTTGAGTCAGAACCGACCCATAACTGACCCTCCAGTGGGTTTTCAGAAGCAGTAAATTGTACAGGAGGAGACTGACAATCCTCTTGTGGAGCAGCAAGCTGGTAGATTCGAACCATGTACCTTTGTTTTGGGAACTTTGTGGAGAAGGCTGGGCAATTGCCTTCCATGCAGTGTAAAGCAGAAATTCTCAAAGGTTGTTTGTTTTTTATTTTTAAAAAGTGTAGCCATCTTAGTGGGTGTGACTTGACCTTCCCAATGGCTTGAATTTTCATTTCATTGATGGTTAATGATGTACTTGACTTTTAAAGCATGTGTTGGCCATTTGTAAATATTCTCTGGAGAAAACATATATTTAAATCTTCTGCTCGTTTTTTATTCGGGTTATCTTTTTGTCTAGGGTCCCTGGGTGGTGCAAATACTAAAGCACTTGACTAGTACCTGAAAAGCTGGTAGTTTAACTCACTAAGAGGTACCTCAGGAAATTGGTCCTCAACCTACTTCCAAAAGGCCTGCCTTGAAAAACCCTGAGGGAGCAGTTCTATTCTGCACATGAGTTAGAGTTGACTTGATGGTAACCACCACCACCATCATCCCCATTTTTTTTTCCGTTATAGTTACAAGAGTTCTTTATAGTATTTAAAAAAATTTGAGTTCTCCATATTATGACCCTGTTCAGGATGACCAGTGATGGTGGTAAACCATCATCTAGTTCTTCAGGTCATAGCTTGTGAATGCTTATTTCTTCCTTGAGATGTTGGTTAAATACTTGCTATTTAGCTCCTTCTGACTAGAAACCAAAAATTGCATCTTAAAAGGCCTCTCACACGCTTTTAAGAGCTCAGCCACTACTCACATCCCTAGGATGCAGATCATAATTTTTGTGAATTATGTTAGACTAATTGACTGAGTTGTCCCATGAGACTGTGGGCCTAAGCCCTCAAGCCCAAAAAGCAAATGTTGGAAGGTGTTTGGTTATGGCTGTGGAGTATTTGTATTTTCCTGTTCAATGAAAACATGTTTCTTTTTTAAATGATAATATCACTCTCTTTTTAATTTTTGCAATGATTCTGTTTAAATTTTGTACTTCTGTTTGTGTTAGTTTGGGTAAGTAGTGTGTTTCTAAGAATTTGTCTACATCATCTAAGCTTTTAGATAAGTTGAAGTAAAATTTTCCCATAGTGTTCTTTATCTTTATTGTGCCAGTTTTAATATCATTGCTTAATTTATTTGCCTCTTCTGTTTTGTTTTTCTTCTTCTTCTTTTGTAAATCTAGGAGAGGAAGACCCTGGTTGAGATGGATTGATAGTGACTGGGGTGATGGGAGTTGGTGTGTCGGAATTAGTGAGACTGGCTCAGGACAGGGCAGGATTCAAAGCTGCTGTCCCTAGGGTCTCTATAGGTCACAGGTGACTCGACAACACACAACAACAACAAATCTAGTCAGTGATTTGTATATTTTATGGATCTTTTCAAAGAACCAACTTTTTTTTGTTGATTTTGTTTTCGTCCCCATTTTCTATTTTATTTGTTGCTGCCCTTGCCTTTATCTTTCCTTTCCCTTCCCTTCACCCCCAGATTTTGGCTTCTTTTGATCTTTCCCCCCCTATTTAAGTTAATGATTTTGGGTCTTTCTTCTTTTTGAAGATAGCCATTTATTGGTCATGGATTTCCCTTTGAGTATTGTTTTTATCTTGTTCTACAGTTTTGATATGTTGTGTTTTCATTTTTGTCTGATCCAAAGAATTTAAAAATTGCATTTTATTGCTTCTGTAATGTAATTTTTTTTTAAAAAAGTAACTTCTTATTATTTAGTTTTAATGTCTTCCTCCCCACCCCCACCCCCATGTATTTTTTCCTGTTGTTGATTTCTAATTTCTTACTGAATTGTCAGGGAGCCCTACTAGAATAGTCCATAGAGAGTTAAGCTGTTCATATAAAGGTGATGCATCTCTGATGGGTTGAATCCACCAGAAGCTCCACTTGACAGATGGCCGATCTCCTGTGCACCGGCTCTGAAAACCTGATGCAGAGTCAGCGACGAGTCAGCTCTGACTTGATAGTAATAGGTGAGACGGTGAGACTGTATGGTCAGAGATTTTTTTTCTCTGTATGATTACAATATTTTAAAATTTGTTGGGGCTTTCTTTGAATCCCAATGTATGGCTGACTCTGGGAGATTGTACATGTGAGCTGGAGGACAGTGTAGATTATTCTGTCGTGGAATGTTGTGTTTTATACATGTCTATTTTGAAGCTCTGGTAGGCTAGTGATAAGGTGTTGTGCTGGCAACCCAAAGGTATGTGTTTCAAATCTACCAGCTGCTCTGCCGGAGAAAGATGGACAATCTCATGCGATTTACAGCCTCTGAAAACCTGCCAGAGGCTCAGCTAGGGGTTGGTTCTGACTTGATGGTACACAACATTAGGTGAATTAGGAGCTCTGATGGTCTACTGGCAAGATGTTGGCTGTTCATTTAAAGGCACACAGTTCAAATTCACCAGCTGCTCCCCAAAAGATAGATTCCCATGCAGTTGAAAGCCTCTGGAAACCCACTGAAGGAAAGATCAGTTAGGAGTTGATTCAACAACATTAGGAAAACAGATTATGATTTTATTTAAGTTCTCAATGTATTTAGTTCTTTTTGGAGGTGTTCTATCTATAATTAAAAATGGTGTGTTGAAATCTATCACAGAGTTGTCTATTTCTCCTGCATATTGGTCAGTTTTTAAATGTATTTAAGGTTCTGCTGTTATTGTGTGCCATCAAGTTGGAACTCACCCATAACTGACTCTGGAGAGGGCCAGTAAATCACAGTACCTTTCAGAGGCAGTAAATCACAGGAGAGGAGACTGTCTACCCTTCTCTTGCAGAAAAGCTGGTGGATTTGAACTGTGTGCCTTTCAGATTGCAGCACAGCTTCTAACCACTATACCACTAAAATTCCTCATGGTACTGTTAGATGCATAAATAATTGTTATATCTTTTCCTGGATTGATTCTTTTATTAGGATGTAATGTACTTTATATCTTGTAATATATTTTAATTTAAAGTCTATTTGGTCTAATATCAGTGTGGTTACCTTGGTCTTTTTCATTTATTGGTTATAAAGAATATTATTCTTCATTTTTTTGTTGACTATATTTGTGTCATTATATTTAAGGTGGTTTTCTTACAAATAGCGAAAGGCATGAATCATGTTGTTTTGGATTTTTTTTCTCCCCAAACTCATTCAGCCACTCTCTGCCTTTTGTGTGGGCATTTAGACTATTAACATATAAAGCTATTACTGAAAACAAAGTATCTGCCTCACTCATTTTACTATTTGATTTTTTAGTATTTCAGGTTTTCTTTTTTATTATTCTGTTTATTATTTTTATTTGTATCTGATGCCTTTTTCTGGGTGACGAACTTTTACAATTTTTTTCTTCTGAATTTTTTTGTCTTCATCATTTCTTAGTGGTTGCAACATAGTCCACATTATATGACTTTTCACTGAAACATCATTTAACATATGAATAGTTAGCATACAACCTTAACACTCTGAATCTTTTCATGATAGGTTCCCTACATGCAGCCATGTATGTATGCACTCCTCCTCAACCTTCTGGGGAGCCTTCAGAACGGATATCTCTTACCTCATCCTCCAGTAGCTCTTTGGGCTTAGGTGGGACTTGAGGCTTCTGAAGAGAAGAGGAGGATGGCAGAGTGGAGGAGAGCCTTGCTTTTGATGATGGCCAGCTGGGCTTACTGGGAAGGGTCTTGCTGATGGGAGGAGAATGTCTCTGGCTTGAACGATTATCTTGAAAGAAGAAAAAAAAAGAAGGCATATGAGGTTCTAGAGCATTCTGTTGGTAGAAGTTGTAAAAAATCTAGAAAAGCCCTCATTTGTAACAAAAATTCCTTGAAGTAAATGATGGTGAAGAGAAATGTTAGCCAAGTATATGAACTACCTTACATTATAAAAATAACTCAAACCCAATTTTCAGGGGTGTGAAAAGCCTTTCCAACTAAAGAAGGCTGATCATTGGCAAAAAAAAAAAAGAATTAAGTTAGAGTAAGGATGGCAATGGAACCACCTTACCTCTGTAACTTGATTTGTGCCGCTATTAGAACCTCTACTCAGAATATTATTGCTTTTCAATGTTTGACTCATGCATTTTTAACTTGTTAGTTAAATTTGTATCTTCTAGGCTGCAACACTTCCATGATACATCTTCAAGGATATGAACATGTACGGCTAAGCACAATTGATAACAGTGCATCTAAATTCCAAAATCAATCTCCATAATAGTCTATGTGTTTCCTACTGCCAAAGGGGCCCTTTAGAGTAGTGAGAGAAGACCTTCACCCTGAAACCCACAGCGTCCCTTTTCAGCAGGAAGTAGCTAAGAGAATACGCCATCCCCTTTTCCTTGTGAATCAGGGTGAAGTCTCTCTCAGGGAGGAGTGATAGGGAATGGCAAGGGACACACTGACAAAGGAGATTAATCAGAACTGGCTTTGACAAGCACTGTGGCAATTGGACAATTAAAACACACATGGGGGGGAAAGAAGAACAAACTGGGGATGAGGGTGGAGAAAACAGTGCAACAATGAATGAATGAAAACCCAAAATCTCTGTAAATGTTCATTAAAATGAATAAAATTTAATTAAAAAAAACAACAAACAGAGTGGACAGAGGATGCTAAGCATGTACATGTCTGAGAGATTAGGGACCCGGATGGCAACAGATGTTGGCCATTACCTGCTAACTTAAGTGTTTGGAGTTTGTACTCACCAGACAGTAACTTGGAAAAAATGCCTGGCAAATTATTTCCGTAAAGATTTCCACCCTACGGAACTCACGTGGGGTTGCTCATGAATCAGGCTTGTTCCAGTAACAATATGTCTGGGGTGTCCTCCTTGGCTCAGTTTGCTCAGTGATCCACTAAGGACAGTGTCTTTCTGCCCTGCTTTCACATTTCAAACACCTGGGGAGTTTTTAAATAGGCTGAGGTGTGGGCTCCACCTAATATTACATTTGAACTTCAGAGACGAGTCTAGTGTTAGTTATGAACTTAAAATGCTCCTCAAGTTATGTGTACCCAGCGTTGAGATGACTGGTCTGGGTCAACCTGCATGTTCCTTTCCTTAGGGATTTCCTTTCAACCATAGAGAATCCATTAGCTTATCCCTTCCTTAGTCCTGGAGGGTCTTTCAATAGGCTTTGAAATGAGCTAGATCTTATCTGTTGCTCACTGCCTATGTTAATTTGGGCTATTCAATCTTTATGGGGCTCACATTTCCCATTTTTTTCAAATGAGTGTGATAATACATATTTTAGAGAATTATCATGGGGATTAGGAAGACTGCTGTATATACAGAGTGTCTAACAAAGAGTTGATGCCTACTCAGTGGAACTAATGTTAACCAGTGGTTAAGCACTTTTTTTTTTGGTTAAGCACTTTTATTCTAACTGAAAGGTCAGTGGTTCAAATCCACCAGCTATTCCTCAGGAGACAGATAAGGCAGTCTGCTTCCATAAAGACTGGAGCCTTGGAAACTCCATAGGGCAATTCCATTCTGTCCTATAGGGTTGCTGTGAGTTGGCATTGACACTGTGTACAAAGAGCAAAAGCCACAAGGAGACAATAATATCAGACCTATACCAACTCCACAAAGGGGAACTGTCCCCATTATCAACACAAAACAAATTGCCATGAGGTCAGACATGTCTTCTAAGCTCAGCTTCTGTCCCTCTTTCTACTACTCATCCCAATGTCAACCTTACTGTTTTACTTGGTCCAAAATCTGATGCAATAGCTTACAGACCTCACAGAATGATATTAGGGAAGTAAAAAAGTGAAAATTCAGGAAGTAGCAGAATACAAATCAGGTTAGTAACAATCAGGATAGCTACTGAAATGTACTCACCAGGCATCTCAGCCTTGAGCCTCGAGGCTTTAGGCCAATGTTAAAAAGTCTTGTTGTTGATTGTCTTTGAATACAGCACAACTCGTAACAATTCTATGAACAAAAGTCCTGAAGCTTCTCTACAGCTATAGACATTTATCAAAGTTCATAGAGTTTCCAGAGGCACGTTATTTAGGAAGTGGATGCCACTCCTGCTTCTAAGCCTGTCATAGAATGTTGTTATTTTTATGTGACATTGGGTCACCTGTGATGTATAGCAGCAACTCTATGTACAGCAGCTCTGAACCCTTCTCTGTCTGAGTCTCACTAACTCCGACAAAGCCCTTAGTCCTGCCAATTATGGCTCTCCACTGGCCAACACTCTCCCCGCTCCCGCTCCTTAAGTCTTCCAATAAACTTGGGCAAAAGCTCTTAGCTCTGGTTTCAAGAGGGGGTTAGCAGTTCACAACTTTTTTCATGATTGACTTTAAAAGTCACACCCAAGGGCTGAATGACTAACCTGGCTATGTCCACTTAACTTACAAGGCTCATTGGAGACTCGGTGCTCTCTCCTTACCAGCTAACTCCACAGGTGAAAATCTACAATCTAGACTCAGTCTGTAGGTGTCCAGCCCATGGAAGGCTGGCTGGCCGGCGTGGGGAAGAGGAGGGAAGGGGTAGCATTAGGCAGCCTTTGTTTAGGGAATTGAAGGTTATCTGGTTATCATCGGTCTCTACAAACCTCTTAAGAGAAATTCTCAGAATCTGGTGTACAGACAGGGCTTGGGCAAGTGGGGGGGTCCAAACTCAGGGTTAATTTCCCATAGGATCATGGGGAGTCAGAGGATGCAACTATCACAGTGTGGTTGTTTGAGTTTCTGCCAGTTTTCAAGAATATCTGGATTTAAGAATATGCTTCCTTTCCCTTCCCTTTTGCCAAGGGAAAGTTTTGCACCTTGGGTTCCATTACCCACGAGTGATATAATGACCAGTCTGGAGGCAGGCAGAAGGTCTTCAGGCAGCAATCAGGCTCGTCCCCACCTCCCTGTATCCTGTCTGGCAGAGTTACTCACCTACGTACTCGCCCCTGGCAAAGGGCAGGGCTGGGTGAACCATCCTCATCTCCTGCTCGGCTGGAGGGGGCTCATAACTGTCATCCCCGTTCTCCTCCGCCGGCATCACGTACATCTCTGAGTCCGAATGCTCATCTGGATTTTCATAATCATTATCCTGGAAATGCAGACACCACACTCAGTACTCTTCATGTGTGCTTAGTCCAGGATAATTCCTACCCCAGGAGACAGATCTATGCTTGGCCTGTAACCAGGGAGAACAAGCTTGTGTGTTTGTGGGAGACTTACAAGGCTAGGCAGCTTTTAAAAGGCAAAGCTGTGATTTGAAGCCAGGCCTTTCAAAGTTTATCACTTCCCCTGCTGTACTATTAGGGGGACATGTGAACTATACTATCCTTAGGGTGATTGTGTCACAGAGAAGAACAGTAGAAAATGATAGTATATTCTGTCAACTCAACACCTAACAACAGCAGCAATGTTTTTAGAGGAATTACCAGTAGGTTTTACTTATCAAGAATACTGATGGTTGAGGAAAAAGTAGATTCCATAGAGTGCAGGGTAAAGGGGTTCTTGGGGAGCCTCAGGAGCCTTTGGGAAGTTGAGATATTTTTTCCCCCCAAATAACATAGCTAATAAGCCAAAGGGGCTTATTATTGGGTATTATTATATTATATTGGGTATTATTATATTATATTGGTATATTATTATTGGGTATTCCATAGGATACCCAAAGATCTGTAAGCTGCTGTAGGATACATGGTGATCAATACACAAACAATACAAGATTGTTCAATGAACAAATGACACATTTGTCTTTAGTCTGTCTCCTCTAACTTTGTGCTTTATAACGTTGATACAGGTAGAAGTGATAGCTGTTTCATTCACTGCTGTCTTCTCAGGGACTGGCACATGATGAGCACACGGTAGTTTTGAAATGCATGGATATGTGAATGAATGGATGAGTCCTTTTCTACTTGATTGGTAGGGAGATGAGTCAAGAGAAGAAGAGTGAGGTGAAGGGTGGAGTAAGGCAAAGTGGAAGAAAGATGAGAAGACAGCTTTCTCAAGGAGGCTGGAGCAGGGCTGAAAGAGAGAATTAGCAGGAGGACAGGACAGAAGTGGATGAGGGTTGAGTGAGAAAGTAAGGAAGAATAGGAACGTGCATGGTTTCTCCTCTCGAACACCATGAGTCTGAAGTCCCCAAGACAGGCAGGGCCTAACACAGTTTGGGAACTAAGGGGGTGCTGGTGTACTGGGCTGTAGCCACAGAGCCCTGCTGAGGTGTGTATATAGACGGCTACACAGGCCCATGGGGTAAATTTCCTCAGGCCTGGAGGCTTTGGGGCCAGGCCTAGATTTTATTCTTTGTGTATTGGAAAGTCAATGAAGTGAAAAATAATCGTGAGTTAATGATTTACTCATTTCTTATTTTAGCTGGTATCTTGGCTTTCCTTTGATTCTAGACCAGCGTCTTTCCATGGCTTCAGATGTGGGCCATGTGTGTTCTGCCAGCAGGGGGCGCAAATGCAGTACTAAATGGGAGTGGGCAGTCATGGGGCCCAGGAGAGATTCTGTAGCCAAGCCTTTAGAAAGAGGCCACCCCTTCCTTGCAGGTGAAAAGCAGAGACACTCTCTCTTAATCCCTTGAACAGACTTCTGTGGGTGTGCAGGCTGATGAGCTGAGCTCACGCTCAATTTTGGATGTTAAGTCTCATGGCTGGGGGTGGGGTGTGTCTGACTGATATGGTGGCTGCTGTTTGGTACTATCATAGGCAAATAATTTTCATTCTATTTCCTTACTTATGTAATACTTGCTATGTGTGTCTAAAAGCTGGACAATGACTAGGGATGATAGAAAGAGAATTGATGCCTTTGAGCTGTGGTGCTGGAGAAGAGTATTGAATATACCATGGACTGCTAGGAGAACAAACGGGTTTGTACTGGAGAGGGTGAACCCAGGTTGCTCCTTGGAGGAAAGGATTCTGAGGCTTCATCTGACATACGTTAGGCATGTTGCAAGGAGGGACTAGTCCTTAGAAAGAGACATCCTGCTTGCAAGGGTTGAGGGACAGTGCAGGAGAGGGAGACCCTCAATGAGATAGATGGATTCAGTGACTAGGGTAATGAAGGTAGGTGTATCAGAGACAATAAGGTTGGCAGGTTTCAGGGCTGTTGTACAGAGGGTCACTATGAATTGCAAGTGACTCAATGGCTCATAACAACAACAACAATGCAAGAAGGTGTATGGTAGATATTTCCAGATACAAAACTCATGCTGGAGTAGGCCAACATTCTGGATGAAAGGGAAGAATAGTTACTGGGAAAAATTGGTGTTTTTCATTTTTGGTTTGTTTTTTTTTATGATGTCAAAATCACTGAGCATTTTTTCCATCTGTGTGGTTCCATTACCAGGGTCTAGAGACTTTACAACAAGCCTGGATTTTACTCCTCATGCAATGAGAAGCCATTACTGGGTAAAAAACGGTTTTTTTTGTCTCTGTATGTGTGTTTTGTCCCTAAAAGGTTTCCTCCAGCATAGAAGTAGATACAGCAGGGCCCTTAAGGCTCCTCTGGGTTGCACAGCTACTTCACCAAGGGCAAGACTTGATTCTGACACTCCCATCTCATCCTATTTAGGTCCCACGGCCTCACTCAGTGGTCGCTGCTAGTTTGCTAATGTCCTCTCGCTCAGAGCAGACACCTTGTCAGCTAAGAACTTGGTGCTGAGGACTGAAGGTCTTAAATTTCAGAACTACAAGTTATTTATATTCTTCACGCCTTCATTTCTGTATCTGTAAAACAGGTAGTGCTGATATTCAAAATGTTAAAAAATTAATATGGCACAGGGTCTGGGGATGGAATCCCTGAGTGGTTGAGCATTTGGCCATTAAGGAAAAAAAAGTAAAAAAGTTAGAATCCATTAAGAGGTGCATCAGAAGAAAGACTGGGTGATATACTTCTGAGTGGTCATATACAAGAAAAACTCTGTGGACACAGCTCTGCTCCAAAGTACATGAGGTCACCATGAGTCAGAATAAACTCAAGGACAACTGATTGTTGTTGGCTTTTGTTTTTAACAGATTCTGTTAAAGAGTAAAGACAGGCATGGCGTCCCCCCATGGACGGCTAGGCATTAACTCCTGAGTTGCTGGTTTGTGTAGGGTTCCTATGCAGGGGTCCTGGTGATGAGGCACTGGGGATTTCAGGGCAGGGCTCATTTACTGATTGACATAGAAAATATTTTCACATCTCTTTAGGCTGTGCGGGAATGATCAATATCACTTTAAGACTTTGGTGAAGAGTTAGTGAAAAGCACATAAAGCTCTTAGCTGCAGACCTGGCCCATATCAGGTGTAGAGTTCAAATGCGCTTGTTGAAGGCTGTTGCAGCTTTCCAACTCCATCCCCTCCCCTGTGATGTGCAGCTGGTCAGCATCACCCCCTACTTGACTTGATGGCTCTTAACAATAACAACAACAGTGAAAAGAGACCCTTCTTAGCCCCATGAGGAAATACTTACGAAGTCGTCTGACCACTGGTCCTCTTCATCAGCAGCGCACCCTGAAACGGTGTATGGAACAGAGAATACACAAACATGAGCTTGGCCACCTACACGTGTTCATGGACACCTGGCTTCGTTTTTTCTTTCTCTGGACTTTCTAACTCACTTGTCAGTGGTGCATCTGTCAAATGCATTTATCAAAGGTTTATTGAAACCATTATGTAACCCAGTGGGGAGCTACAATTATGTCACCTCTAAGAATCTTCTTGAAATGAATACTTAGGTAGTATAGTTGTTATTGTTGATGATGAGTGCCTTCCAGTCGAGCATGACTCATAGCAACTCTATCAACAAAAGGCCTGAAGGCAAATTCTTTAGGAAGTGGCAGGGATTGAGGGGGTGGGAATGGACAGAGTCAGGTCCAAATTTTAATCTAATTGGGGAATATTGGCAAGATAGCTAACATCTTTGAGCCTCATTGTCCAGATTTAGGAAATGAGAGGAAAGGATCTATGATTTTCTTTAGTCTTAACTTTGATTTTTTTTTTCAGTTGAAAAAAATGATTTTTTTTTCTATGTAAATGCTAGGCAGTATTATCAGATCTTGTACATATTAACTCCTTTGGCCATCTCAAAAGTCTTATAAAGAAACATGGAGAAGTCATTTGCCCAAAATCACTCAGATAGTAAGTAGCAGAGCTTGGATTTGAACTCTGCAAGTTTACACTAAAGTTTACACTCTGAAGCACAACATGAAGCCACCTCACAGTGTATGAGCTACAGGGTTCAGGCACTTCCCCAGCCTCAACAGGAGTTATGGAAATGAATCCAGCAATTCTCAGCCTTTAAGTAGCTTTTTACCTTAAAAAATGAGTAAATTATGAATGAATAAGAAAAGAAATCATTAAATAAAACATATGATCTTGAAGAACAGCTGTTGAGCAAGTAACATGGCACAGGTGCTGACAACCAGAGTTCTTGGGTGGCACATAATTGTTAAAACTCATATGACAGCAAGGAGTGTATTTGATCCCTCTCCAAAATGCTTTTAGAGTGTGAGAAGCTTAGCACTTAATTCATCAAATAATCTGAGCTGTTAATGCAATTCACTGTGTTATGCAGGAGATCAACTAAACATAGGCTCAGATGATAGAGTGACACTAACAACTCTGCATAGAGGGTCCTAGTATCCTTCTGAGCCTCTGAGCAACCACTGCTACAGAAGACTTGGTAAATAACCAATGAATTCTCAATAATCATTTCCAGAGTAATTTCTCAACATTTCTACTCCTTGCCACAGTAGATTTCAGTTCTATATGAGTTCCACAGAGACACTAGGCAAGGAATTAGAAAGTAAAATAAGTATTAAACTTGGATATTAAAAGAAAGTAATTTTTGTTAAATTATTCTTTGAATTCACTTTTATTAAATTACAGACAAATTAAATTATCTTCCTAATATCATAACATTTCTTTCTTAGCACAGTGGGAGAATGACAAGTTTCTTCCTTAAGTCTGGAGATGAGATAATTGAAAAATTAACACTCAGGATAGCAAGATGCTTGTGTTTCATTAAAAATAGAAACCACTTAAACTAGAAACTTATCTTTAAAAAAATATATATTACACACTTCCCTGCCTTTCAAAAACAAATAGACAAACAAATTAATGCCTTTGATTAAATTCTAACTTACAGTGAGCTATAGGCCTGGTAACCTTTATTTCCTAAACATTTTATCAATGAGCCACTGCCTACTGTAAGATCAGTTACTGATAAAAGCAGTTGGAGAAGCCAATCAATTTCCTCATCTCCATTATTTCACCTCTTAAATTCTGTTTACACTGACTCTAATTGTTGTTGTTGTTATGTGACTTTGAGTGTTGAGTCGTTTGCCACTCATAGCGACCCTATGTACAACAGCCCTAAACCCTGCTCTATCCTGTGTTAATTGCACTGCCTCTGGCAACACCCATCCCAATTACCCCAGTCACTAACTGGTGATATTAGCCATCCTGAACGCAATCAGAAGTTCATTGAACATGCATGCAACCAGGATGCACTAATAATAATGGGTGACTGGAATGCAAAAGTTGGGAATGGAGAAGGATCAGTAGTTGGGAAACATGGGCTTAATAATAGAAATGAGGCTGGAAATAAAATTATAGAATTTTGTACAATCAATGATTTATTAATGGCAAAGCCCTTTTATAAGAAACACAAAGGGTTACTATATACCTCACCTGATGGTCTGCACAGGAATCAGAGTGACTACATCTGTGGAAAGGATCATTATCAACTGTGAAAACTAGGCCAGGTGCTGATTGTGGAACAGACCATCAAGTACTCATATGCAAGTTCAAACTGAAGCTAAAGAAAATGAAATAAAATCTACAAGAACCAGAATTTGACCTTGAGTCTATCCTACCTGTATCAAAAAACCATCTCAGGAACAGATTTGAGGCTTTGAACACTCATGTGTGAAGGCCAGATGAGCTGTGGGAGGATATAAAGAATATTATCCAGGAAGAATGAAAAAGGTCATTACAAAGACATAGAAGGAATGAAAGACTGAGATGGATGTCGGAAGAGACTCTGAATATTGCATTAGAGCACTGAGAAGCAAAAGCAAAGGGAAGAAGTCAGAAAATTAAGGCGATGAACAGAAGATTTCAAAGGGCAGCTCAGGAAAACAAAGTATAATGAAATGTGCAAAGAGCTAGAGTTGGAAAATCAAAAGGATTGAATTCACTCAGCAATTCTTAAGTGAAGGAACTGAACAAATTCAAGCCTCAAGTTGCAATACTTAAAGATGCTATGTGCAGAGTACTGAATGAACCAAGAAACATAAAAAGAAGATGAAAGTAGTGCACAGAATCATTGTACCAAACAAAACCTGGCTGACACAAAAGAACTGAGTAAATTTATATTTAAGAGGCAAAGATGATGAAGGGGGCAGTTCAAGCTGCTCTGAAGGAAATGGCAAAAAAAACAAGGCCCCAGGAATTGATGAAATACCAATTGACATATTTCAACAAACAAATGCAGCCTTGAAGTATTCACCAAGAAATCTGAAGGACAACTACATGGCCAACTGGCTGAAGAGATCCATATTTATTCCCATTCCAAAAAAAGGTGATCCAACACAGTGTGGAAAATATTTAATGATGTCACTAGTATCACATGCAAACAAAATCCTGCTGAAGATTATCCAAAAGCAACTAGAACAGTACGTGAACAGAGAACTACCAGAAATACAAGTTGGATTTAGAAGAGGCCATGGCACTGTGGACATCAATACCAATGTCAAATTGATCTTCGCCAAAAGGAGAGAGAGCCAAAGGAGTGTCTCTATGTTTCATTGACTATGTAAAAGCATTTAACTGTATGTATCACCACAAATTATGACTAACCTTGAGAAGAATAGGAATCCCAGAACATCTGACTGTACATATGCAAAACCTATACAGAAGGCAGTTGTCAGAACAGAGCAAGGAAATACTGCATGGTTAAAAATCAGAAAGGGGGTGCATCAGGAATGTGTCCTGCTTCCCTCCCTTTTAAATCTGTATGCAGACAAGATCATTCAAGAGACTGGACTTTACAAGGAAATAAAGTGGCATCAGATTGGAGGAAGTTTCATCAACAACCTGGGTTATGCAGATGGTACAACTTGCTGAAACTGAGGAGGGCCTGAAGCATTTGCTTCAGAGGGTCAAAGACTGTAGTCTGCAATATGAATTGAAAAGCTCAACACAAGAGAATGGGATTCTCACTGCTGGACCAATTGGTAGCATCATGATAGATGGAAAAGAGATTAGGAATGTTAACAGTTTCAGCTTGCTCGGTTCCACAGTCAACATGCTTGACACAAGCAGTCAGGAAATCAAAAGACAAATTACATTATGAAAATCTGCTGTCAGGGACCTCTCCAGAGTGGTGAAGAGCAAAGATATCAGTCTAGAAACTAAGATGTACCAATCCAGGTCATAGTCTTTGCAATTACTTGCTACGCATCAGAGAGCTGAACAATAGCAATAGCCAAGGATAACAGAATTGCTTCCTTTGATTTGTGCTGGGTAAGAGTCTTGAGCATACCATGGACAGCCAAGAAAATGAACTAGTATGTTCTGGAGAGGGTGAAACCAAGCTTCTCCTTGGAGACAAGAAGTTCTGTTTCACATACTTTGGGCATGTAGCCAGGAGGGACCAGTCTTTAGAGAAGGATGTCATGCTTGGAAGTGTGGAGGGACAGTGTAGGAGAGCAAGACCCGAGATGAGATGAACTGACACAGTAACTGGGGTAATGAGGTAGATGTGTCAGAGACAGAGAGATTGGCTCACGATAGAGCAGGGTTCAGAACTATTGTGCCTAAGGTTGCTATGAGTCATGGTTAACTCAGTGGCACATAATAACAACATCAGTATGCTGGGACTGATAAAGAGTAATTGCATTACATCATTCACTGTCAAAAAGATCTATACTGAAGTCCAACACAGTGATAGGATAATATTCGTACACATATAAGGAAGACGTGTTAATATTAAAATTTATGCTAAAGATTAAACTAAAGCTAAAGATGAAGAAATTAAGGATTCTTAAGAATGTCTAAAGTCTGAAATTGATCAAGATGCACTAATACAGAAGGATGACTAGAGTGCAAAAGTTGGAAATAAACAAGGGTTAGTGGTTGGAAAACACAATTTTAGTGATAGAAATGAGGTCAGAGTTCACACTATAGACATTTTTATGACTAGGACTATAACTTATTCATTGCAAATACCTTTTTTTTAAAAAAATCACCCAAACCCATAAATGGTGACTATACTGATCCTCGTCGTGATATTTCAATTGTTTTGTTTCTGAGTTGAACAATGAAAGAACACAAAAGAAGGATTGATAGCTTTGAATTGTGGTGTTGACAAAGAGTATCGAATATGCCACAGACTGTCTAAATTACAACAAAGAACAACCAAACAAACAACTCTGCTTTGAAGAATGTACAACCCAAGTGGTTCTTAAAGGCCAGAATGAGGACATTTTATCTCACATACTTAGGGT